AATCCGAAAGAAAATACAAACTTCACAAGCAATCCAGAGGTTATACTAACTGCCATATTGACACTTCAATCAGCCAAATCGTAAAGATTATATAGACTAATCATATAAGTTAATGATTATTTAGTCTATTTAACACCTTCCATTCTGTCATATGTTGTAAATGCGTTAAAATATTTGCAAAAGATTCCCCTTTATAGCTTCATGCAGATATCCAAGCTTGAGCCAACAAGATATCCCACTCATTTTCACTATGAAAAAAAGAAAGATGGTAAACGTACTGTTTGAACGATATTTTTACAATGAACGTTTCGAATTCAAATTAGCCATTTTTGTGGTATGTATGGAATTCTATCGTCCACAACTTAGTATGAAATAAATAAAGATGACCCAAAAGAAAAGAAGAAGAAGAGAAAACTTCAAATTCTAACAATATAAATTAAGACTGTGATAGCATGACTAACTTGTATATAACGGATTTCGGTCCCTCCGGTTGCTTGCTAACATACATGTCACCGTTTTCAGCAATGGTCAAAGATATCACTAAAGAAAGTCATAAATGAAGTGTGATAAACGGAGAAAGCTAACAATAACAGCTACCAGAATATACCCACGCAATCCATCTATAAAACTTTCATGCTTCATTTCACCAGCCATCGTGAAAAATCTCAACTCCGTTGTTCGTTCTTTATCTTCAGCACAAGTGTAGACTATCTGAACAATAAGTTAAACGGTCAAGAAAGACATAAAATAACTCAAAATAGAAATTCCGCTCAAATTTCCGATATTTCAAAAGTGTTAGTTGAAAATAAGAAAATTATAGGAGCGAAAAATCGAGAACAAGATGACCTTGAATTTCCATTAAAAATACAGGCATATGATTTTTCAGTACGTTGCTTCTGAGGAACTTACCATATCCTTGTGGAACAGCACCTGTGGAAAAGGCGCCATCTTCTTCGGGAACAAATTCTTTCGTTCCCATATGGTAGTTCTACGCGTTCCGTCGAATTTGAATAAGCCCCCTTTCGTTGCTACCTAAGGTTTAAACTGCAGAAGAGCGCGTATTTTTCAGAGGAGAAGAAAGTGGTCTTAATTGCTGACAAGTAAAGTAGTACCCAAACGTTTCCTTCTGAATCGAAACAAACGTTGTAAGGAACGGTAGCTCCACGAGGTGTTAGATGAAGCCACATTTCATCAAAGCGCTGAAGGTCAGATGTATCGGATTTTGTTTCGACCATTTCTGAAAGTTTTCAAAATTAACTGGAAAGATGGCAAACTGCATGAAACCTTTGCAAATATGTGGCACGAAACTTAGTGCTACTGCTATCATCAAAAATATAGAATAAAATTGAGTGATTAG